GTTACGGAGAATCCATAATGAAAGGTATGTACTTCTAATTATAGTCAATTAAATTGAAGTCATTAATCTCACAATAATAATTAGCTAAATTTATTATAAGTTTGTTCATGCAGTTTATACCCCTTTGATAATTCCTCATAAACCCAGGTCTCTACTTTCGTATCATAGAGATTTTGTAGGCAAGATGTGGTAAACTTTAATTGGAAGTTGTCAGTCGTTTTATTTTCCAGTCATGTATCTGCTCAATTAATTTATTTAGCTTGATTGTGTATCTACATGTGCCTACTTTTTACTCAAAATATCGTGTATCCTACTCATGTTTAAGTAATAAATGGTTCAAAATAGCCTAAAAATAGTGTAACATTTAATGTAGTCCACGGTACTCACATAACATCCAGTGATTTAGCCCTAGTGTATACAGCCAACGAGATTTCTCTTAAAGAGTCAGATTAAGATGATTTTCTTTAACAAAACATGTCAGATAGTCCACGCGGGGCTGCCATCTTGAAAAGCATCGATCTGATCCAGTACTGATATACAGCCTGGACCAGTGCTGACGAACAGACATTACTGTATCAGCTATGACTACATCGGGACTGAAATAGATACTGGTCCAGGCCAGAGCAACAGCCTCGATTCAGCAGTGATGGCCATCGATGCTGGACCGTTATAGAATCAAACCTGGTCCAGGCCTGATACCCATCATTCACGGATCATGCATGGTAACTCTTGGGTGTGTACTCTTCGTCTGGGTACGTAATCCTTGACCACGTGCTCCTACTCAAAATAGAGGGTTGCTGTCATGGGAAGTTAGACCTTATTTATGATAAACTACTCAAACTCCAAGAGAGAGAAGGATTTAAAATAGATCTGTTACTCTGTTGTGGTGATTTTCAAGTCAGTGGACTCCATTTTGTGTTCATTTCAGTATAAGACCCACTGCAGGCAATTAGAGATCAAGATGATCTTAACTGTATGGCAGTCCCTGACAAGTATAAGGAAATTGGATCCTTCCACAAAGTAAATACCTTAAGGAGACAATTATTAGCGTGTACTTATTTTAGCGATTTTAATGAAACTGACATTTGGCTGGTACTTAATTTAGCGTTTTTGATCATTTGGTATTAATAACTTCTAGAAGAATGAAAGGGGCGAGCCTAAGCAAGCTATAGATTATGTGCTGTGATCTACATGTATGAGCAAGCAAAGCAATTGCACAAGTCTAAATACACTAATACAGTAGATCTTGTTGCATTAATCTTGCTTAAATTGCTTCATCGCTGACTCTGCAGCCATTAATAATTATGTAAAGTTATCTTGCTTACAGTTAGAAGCAGTCACTGAACGAAGAAGATTATCATCTGCTTTGTTAACCTAGGCTAACTGCTGGAGAAGTCTTTGGGCAGCAGTTTAGTATTATCTTGCTGACCGTTTGCTCAAGTAAGCTCTGACTTGCTGACGGCCGCCATTTTATTCATTGTGACCACACCCACTTTCAATGAAGAAATTAAAATTAGCGTGGACTTAAGTTAGCGATTTTTTTAAATTGCTAAAATTCACTAAATTAAATACCCGCAAACAATTGTCTCATTAAGGTAGATAATGATGATACCATTGGTACATAATAACTAATTAATACTGAGGGGTGGGGCTATGGGTGGAGCTTGCATTTTACGTTATACCTTTTTAATTAGTCGCAGGGTTTTTGGGAGGAGCATTTGTCCCCTTGGCTTCGGATTGAACTTGATGTATTTGATCAGTCATTTTAACTATAATTCCTATTTATATTCAAAATGCTAGAAACCTCTACTCCATCAAGTTCACTGGTAAGAGAAAGAGAGAGAAGACATTTTACAATAAGAGGGTGTTGTGTGGTTGCTATGGTAACCCATATCTGTTCCATTACAGATAAATCTTCTTTATGGTGAAGATGATGATGAGAAGGTTAGGCCTCCTTTGACAATACAGCTACCATCTTCCCCCAGACCAACACACTGAGCTGTTAAATCTAAAAGAGCTTCATCAATAGGTAAATCAATACTATGACAAAATTTGTGAAAATTTTATTTACATTATTATTATATATTATTTATTATTTTTTTAGTACGATCCCCATATTTGGCAGCTGTTGCTCCACCACGTCAATCTGTTGTACCTCGTCACTCTCCATCAACTAAAAGATCATCACCAGTCAAAGGTAGACTGTATTTATTTATTTATTTATTTATTTATTTATTTATGTTAATTATAAACAGCTACACAGGTTTACAAAAATGGATTATTCGTACCTATCAAAAGAAAATCAGCTTCAAACAAAGGTAGTCTGTTATTAATTAATTAATTTATTATTATTATTATTATTATTATTATTATTATTATTATTATTATTATTATGTAGCAACTGATGTTGATTCTACAGTGGATTATGCTGGTAAGACTGCACTGGATCTTCGTGATGAGCTAACGGCA